GAAGTGCATGCTATTGGCTGGCTTTGGAGCAGACTTTCAGGAGGCAAACAGGAACTGGCAACAACAGGGGGTGTGTGTGAGGAGTATTTAGGGTGCGCCTTTCTTTGTTTTTTATTATCTTTTACTGAATAGCATGAGATTGAATTCAGAATGTTTTTCTGGGAAGTTGCTTTTCAGAGGCTTTATCTGAACTGACCTTCAGTCCTCCTTATACTAGGTCAAGCCCATTTGAAAAGCAGGCCCTCCCACAGCTCTCTACAGCAGTGGCCCAGCCTACCTACCCTTCTCTTCCCTCCTCTCTCTCTCTCTCTCTCTCTCTCTCTCTCTCTCTCTCTCTCACACACACACACACACACACACACACAGCCACCGCTATTCCTTATAGACATTAACAGGGAGACAGGCCCCCAGAACAGCCCAGCCCAGCTCAAGTACCGCTTCCCAGCTCCTCACTCTACTCTCTCTCCATCTCCGCCAGGGTTTCTATTTAGTGCTCATGGGTCCCATGCTAGCTGCTGAGGCACTGATGTTCTTATTTCTGACACCCTGAAGGTTGGGAAATATGAAGCCCCCTCCATTGGCAGAGAAGCACAGAAAGGGCAATGACTTGCCCAGGGTCACACAGCTGCTCAGGAGCAGACCGGCAAGTCTGGGGTTCAGACCCTAACCTCCTGATAGCTAGTCCCTGGCTCACCTCAATCAGAAAACTCCTCTTTATGAGAGGAGCCAAGCTCCATTTCATGTCAGTGAAGACTTGAAAAAGCAAAAAAAGCAAAGTTGTGGCTGCAAGCTCCCAGGTACCCCTCAACTCCCAGCTGACCTGGTAGATATAAAGTCAGTGCTGTCACCTGTACTCCATGCCCTTCCTGGAATTCCAAGACAAGTGCAGGCTTTGAAGGTCAGGCCGTGAAATTGATGCCTACCTTTTCCATAGGCAAAAAAACAGAAGCCAAATCCTATTTTTCAAACAAGAAGTTCAAACGATTCATTCTCTTGTCTCAGGCATGTTTACTAAGTTACTGCTCTAAGTGAATTCAGAATGCACAGCAAGCTGACACGAGCACACATCCTAGTGAACACTCCTTTAGCTGCAGGGACAAGGGCACCCTGGTCTTTCTTTTAGTATTCAACTTCTGAAAATTTAGGGGCCCTGTGATTTTCTTGGTTTCAGAATGAGTCACCCATCACACTGAGGCAGAGCAAATTTCTTTGCAAACCAGGTATGGGATAGGAGGGTCCTGGGGTGCACATTCATTTCACACAACTTCCTTGTCTGGACTTAAATGTGGAGGAGGTGTGAATTTTGGGTGCTGCATTTGTAGAAAAAAACATGTTAATGCCACATTCAAATCAGGTCATGGCAAAATTGTGACTTGTGGCCACATGCCTTTTTACTCCTGTGCTTTAAGTCACCTTTTTAAGTAAAGATTTCACCACTAACATGGGACGGCAGGGTAGGCAGAGGGGAACTGGTGTCAGCATCTCTTTACTGAAGAGTCACCTGTGCCTGTTACAACCAGGCTGTCAATAAGCCCCCAGATCCAGAGAGAATGCAAGAAGCTTGCTAGACAAGAGATAATTTGGAGGGAAAAGGCACCTACCCACCTCAAAACAAGGAAAAGACAGCCCTCAGGGGATGGGGACACTGAAATACGGTGGCTTTCTAGGGGAGGGTCTGCTGTTTGTGATGGCCCAGCACCTATGCTCCCTTCTGATGAACACTCGTCACTTTTACTGAGGGAGTCACTTTAGGGCAGACAGGTGACCCAGGCCTGGTCAATGAGCACAGAAAATCCCTCTCCAGGGGTGGGCAAGCCAGGCCCATCAACATGAACAGGCATCGGCCCCCAGACTTTAGCTGCAGCTAATGGGAAGAAGCAGCTCCCTCTCCGCTAGGTGGTAAGTAACTTGGCAGGATATGAGCCTGGCGCTGCCAATGGTCATCTTGGCACCTGGGTCCAGCCCCACCTCGCCTCCCAGTTACATAAACAATTACCCTCTTTTTTGCTTAAGACAACCTGAGTTGAATTTCTAAATCTTACAACCTCAAGCATATCAAGATACCCTCATTAAAAAAAGTTATCACACGAATCATATTTTCTATACTCATAATTTCCAGAAGGGAAGACCTTAGGCTTGAGAAGACCCTCCAAGGCCCACAGTAAATAGCGCTACAAGTCTGCAAGCCAAGTCTCCCATCTCTCAGGCACCTCCCCTATCTACACTGTCCTTTGGCTTGAAACTGAATTAGGAAATGTGCCTGATGCCCTTCCAAGTCACAGGAATGAACAGCTGTGTGGTTTCATCCAGCCACACCTTCAAATATGAGAATAACTAAGACATCAAATATATGGTTTAAAAAGCCCCAGAATACAATTCCTGCTGCCCAGTTAGGTGTCTGTTTGATGGAGGGGCCTATGAAAGTTGTATTTATTTATGTTGAGCTGGATGGGAAGACTAATGCATGTTCGAGAAAATAAGAAGGCACCAAATGCTGCGGGGTCATTGAGAGCCATGCTCGACTGAGCGCTGACATCAGCACCAACCGAACAAGCAAAACCTCTGGGGAAATTTCAGGGCCCTGTCTGGCATAACCTGGCTGAGGGACTGCCTGGAAAATAGGTTTTTGGAAACTGGTGAACATTTTCCCTTGCCCCTCCACAGGGCAGGCGGGCTCAGCATGCAGGAGGCCTTGCCCCAATCCCAACAGTGAGCTGGACCTGCAGCTTTGCCGATGCTCTGAGGCCCCTGTGCATGAGGACTGGGCCGCCAGGCTGACTCATTTGGTTGTGTGCTTAAGGCCAAACTGCCCTGTCCACACCACGGTTAGTCACAGCCCAGCCCTGGTTAGAGAGCAGCCCTTAAAAGGACTGGAATGAAAGAGGGTAGCATCTTTCCAAAACAAAATTGACGAGAACACAAAGTACAAAATGGGGTAAAGTCATCCCTTTGCCCCCTGATGTGGCTACAGGACAGCTAAATCTAGGGCTTAAGCAGATAATTTTCTCCTGAGTTTAAAAAAAAATATCTAAATGATCCAAGTAAGCAAACAAGTATGGCTTCCCTTGTGTTTGCCCCTCTCCTTCCCCCTTCACCAAAGTGGTACTTGTTGGTAAAGATTTTCCCAGCCAAAAGAGAATTTCTAAACCAAAATGCTTACTGCACACTTTGAACAGTAATAAAAGCATACTGGAGATCTAAACCTTAAAAAGAGGGCCAGGTGGCACCAGAGAGATGCTTTGGTGATACTTATCGAAACGTGATCAGGGCATTCACTGAGAACAGCCACGAAAATCAGAATGGGGCCAGCGGGGGCGGAGAGTGAGGGGGGGCGAGGCGGGGCGGGTTTTGGCTGCATAATTGCAGCAAACTCCCCCAAGCAAATGAGTTCCCAGTCACTGATTTACTGAGCCACTCCATTTCCCAGCGTCAGATGCCTGGGACTAGGGACTCACACAGTCCAGGCTGATGGGCCAATAAGAGCTGGCTTCAGAGCAGCCACTGCTAGCCCAGGACCCAGGAGGACCACTGGCAGGAAATAGTCTTCACACCCCAGGGGAGAGCACAGTTGAGAGCCAGAGAGAGCCCATGCCTGTCCTAGGGGGTGTGGTGGGAGCTCACTTCCAGCGATCAGAGCCCCTAGCCCACTTACACCCCATCACCTCTTTCACCCTGAGTGTCCCGAGCTGTGGCCAGGGGCCCCAATCTGTGTGGCTGTGTGCCCGGCCTACGACACAAAGAACTGGACAGTTAAAGCTTGCTTAATTCCAGAACAGACCACTCTCCCCAGATTGAGAAGGTCTTAGCATCTAAATAGAGGGAAGTAAAAAATAAAACAGAATGATTCCTGACAAAGGCAAAAAAGAGGACTGAACTACTCTGCTTATTTAGCACATAGGCAACAAACACAAGTGTACCTCACTCTAAACAGAAAGGACTTCTAAAAATTCTTAATGTAAGAATACAAGGGATTATATTTCATTATTTGATTCAAAAAACCCAATCTTATTAAAAGCATGTAAGTTTATTAAACACTGCCCCCTTTTCTTCCTGCAGTGCACTGGAAACAATGACTTCTGTCAAAAATCATAATCCAGGTTATCAGGAATAATAAGAACAGCAATAACGATAAAAACAGTGATGATAATAATAGTAGTAGTAGCAGCAAATATTTGACAGGGGCCAAGCACTGTTCTGAGCATGTTACAAGAATCAATGCATTTAATTTTTGTAGTAACAAAGTAAATACTATTTGTCACCTTCTTTTTAAGGATGGGGAGGCACAGGTTAAGAGTACAGACCCTGCCCGGCCGGGTGCGGCTCAGTGGTTGAGTGTCAACCCTGAACCAAGAGGTCACTGGTTGGGTTCCTGGTCAGGGCACATGCCTGGGTTGTGGGCTCGATCCCCAGTGGGGGGTGTGCAGGAGGCAGCTGATCAGTGACTCTCTCATCATTGATGTTTCTCTCTCTCTCTCCCTCTCCCTTCCTCTCTCTGAAATCAATAAAGATATATTAAAAAAAAAAAAAAGAAAGAAAGAGTACAGACCCTGCTCCAGGTCACCCACCCATCTAGTAAAAGCAGGCCTTATACTGGATCTACTTTCAAATGTCTGGGTTGTTTAGAGCAGCGATTTTCAACCAGCGCACTCCAAAAGTTTTTAAAACATGCAATACTTGACTATTTAGTCTTTTCCCTTAGATTGTCAAATGAAAAAATGACAAAAGTTAACACAACAATAGTTGTCCAGTGTGAATGAATCAAAATTACACCTATTTTTTTGTCAGATCGTCAAAAAGTATTTTTTGGTGTGCTGCAGAATTTTAGTATTGAGTTTGTGTGTGCCATGAGGTGACAGAGGTTGAAAATCGTTCACTTGGAGTGAGGTTCACAGGTGTCAGGAATGAAGAGAAGCACTCACTGACACACCAGGGGGACCAGACACAAACGACAGCCTGACTCGCAGCACGGGCAGCAGGGCGGAGTTCATGGGCACACTCACCTTCACTCTCCCCACTCGTCTTGATGCCTTTTGAACCACCCTCTGTACCTTTAGCCTTCTCGGCATCATCTTGGGCATCCTCAGTGGGCCCTTTCTCCTCATCTTCCTCCTCCCCAACGTTTTTGTAGTTGGGTCTCTTTTGCACCCGCCGCTTGCCCTTGTGCTTGTTCATCTCAAGGGACCGCTCGAGTGTCTCGGTGGGTTTAATAAAGCATCGAACGCTGGGCTTGGCCTAGGGAAGTACAATCAAGACAAGAGCCGGGTTTGAACCTTTGCATCGCACTGGAACCTATCAAGCTGTCAGAGAGTTTCTGCCCCAAGAAATTCATTTCCAAACAACAAATGCTACCTCCTAGTTGTTGTTATGACTATCATTAACATCATCATTATTAAATAATCGACACAATAGCACGAGCGAGCATTTACTACCCACAATCCTAAGTCAGAAACTGCACTTCACCAACACCAGTTCCATGCTCCCAAAGGTCAGTCACTTGCATAAGAAACTTCAGTTAACACTTTATGGTATTTTGTATGTGCCAGATGTGTTCTAAGGACTCTGACTATATTACCTCACTTAAACTTTACAACCCTTTGAAGCAGTACAACTGTTATCCTCATTTTACAGATGAGGAAACTGAGGCTCAAAGATGTTAAATGACCCACCCAAGGTCACCCAGGAGGAAGCAGAGCTGGCATTCAAACCCACATGCCATCTGCACAATTCATGTCTTAACTATAGCACATTGATGTTGTTATTAACTCTTATTTAAATAAATTTGTTTTGAAAGAAACAGTGTATTGCTGAAGGAAATGGAACACCGGTGTACCTTGCTATTATAAAAATAAATAACAGAAAAGAAAAGCAAAGTGACTGAATATAGCCAAACACTGGCTTTCTTTAGAAGGGAAGAGAGTATCAGTGATGAGTTAAAGCTCAGATTCAAAGGAAGCTTACCCCAAAGAAAGATTTCCCTAAAAAGTCAGAAGGCTTCTAAAGAGAAATGAAGGTGGCCTGTTGGTTGCAGCACCAGTGGTTCATGTCCCACATTCTGGAAAACATGGCTGTATCTCAGTCCTTATAACAACCAGGAGATAAAACGATTACCAGCCCCACATTATAGTTGAGAAAACAGAGGCTCAGAAATGTTAAGTAAACTGACTTGCCCAGTGTCACACAGCTACTAAACAGAAGTCAGAATTTTAATAGAAGTTTGCCCAATCCCAAAGCCCAAGCTCTTCCTAAAATCACAGAGCTTACCCAGGAGCTCAAGCTCAGTTCCATAGTTCGTACTCTCTAAAAAGTACATGCAAATGGGCCAGGACTAGAAAGGAACAAAGACAAAAGGAAACTGATTTGTTTGGGGCAGGATTCTGATTGAAGTGTTTTTCTCTTCCCAGAGTCTGGATGATGTTCAGATATCATTCTGTCATTTAAAAAGGGAAAAGTTTTCAAGTAAACTTTTCCATTATCTTGATACGGTTTATCCATCTTCTGAATTTACCCCAAACAACCACCAACTGTATTCTGGGGGCTACTGCATCTTGCCAATAAGTAGAATGAGCTCAAGGAACACAAATTAATTTCAATAACACTCAAAACAAAACATAATTGAAAGCTAAATTAGCATCCAAATCCAAACATTAATTTTTATTTACCGACTTAAGATTATTCATCCACAAAAATGACAGATCAATTGAGACATGATTCTAGTGTCCAGGAAACCCAAATAGTGCATTACAGACGCCAACCACCAAGAGCCCAGAGCACTCCGAGAGTGCACAACTTGACAGACAGCATCCGTCAGAGCCCACTCAGGATGCTGTGTGATCAAACACTGCCCCAGATGCCCCCAGCCTCTCATGAGGGACCTGAACCTGAAAAGTTAGGGACCCAAGATGAAGTGACAGCTTCCTCCAATCACCACTTACTCCCAGTGAATGTTAGAGCATGTCATGCACAACAAAGCTTTCAGGGACAAAAAACCAACACCAAACACGGAGCAAAACCCCCACCCAGTTACAAGTTCCAAGGAGAAATTCACAAGTATGGATGAAGAAACCTCTCCCCGAGCTCTGTGTGGATACAGATGTACAGAACTGACAGAAGTAAGGGAAGTAAAATGCTGCACAAAGTCCAGGGCTGGTCAGAGCTGTGTGAGCCGTAGCTAAACTCTACCTTGGCTGCAGGGCCTCTCTGACCTTCAGGTTCCTGGTCTAAACATCAGGAAAGTAATTCTGACAAAACTAAATGAAATCATGGCTATAAAGTTCCTTCAGAGCCTGGCATTAGAGTAAGCATCCAACATACGAATAACAGTTACCTTCCTTTCCCTGCCTACATTTAAAAAAAATCAACTATGAAAATGAATTTTAAAACTTTCCAAAGGGATTTGCTTTTCTCAGAGATCAGGTATTGGGGAGTGGAAGAAGGGAAGGCATGCTTGCTGGGGAAATTTCAAACCTTTAAAATGTAACCTACCCAGAAAACTGCTGGAAATAACCTAAATGTCCGTCAGCGGGGAGTGGTTAGGTAATTATGGTTTGTCCACAGAGATTGATGGACTGATACAGAAACAGCACTGGGATGAAAAGGCAAGAGCAGGGGACACAGTAGGGCCCCTTTTAAGCTTTCCAAAGGCTCTACCTAATGGTATAAACACAATTTTTCTTGGAAAGCTGCATAAGAATATATTAAGATTTCATCTTTGGGGGAAGAGGGGGGGGCGGTACTGTGTGCACACCCACACAAGAGCACTAAGATTTTTTCATTTCTGTACCTTTCCATTAGGTCTGAAATTTCTAATCATGCATGCACATTTTTAAAAAAAATTCAACAAGGATCATCTGGGTATTGGAATTATAGACTTTGTTTTCCCTCTTTTTTGTCTATATTTTTTAAAAACCCTGTGTTTTTTTTTTTCCATAATAATGACATCAAAATCCCACAGTTACCATGGAGAAACTGGTAAGGGTTGGCTGGGAAACAGGCAGAGATTCCAGATCATTCCTGCTGCTCTGTTCAAGAGACTTGTGGCTGCCAGTCTCCCAGGAATCTACGTGTTACACTGGATAATTCCGGATGTTCCAGATGGAAAACCCCCAGGGGAGGGGAGGGGTCCTTGTTCATCCTACTCCCCGCCATGCTCTCAACTGACACTATACCAGGTGCCTGGAACAGGGCAGGGCCTCAGTGGGGTGGGCTGATGAGTGAATTCATGGCTGCCTGTTCTTTACTGTATCCAAAGTGAAGGAAAGAACAACAAAAAAAGGAAGAAAAGGCAGGAAGGAAAGAAAAAAATTGCCTGACACCCTCAGCAGCTGAACTTCACACAGTGGAAGACCAAGCGTGATGAAACTAACCAAAAGTGAATAAAAAATGAGAAGGCCTGGATTTTTCTTCACATAAAGCAAGCACGCCAAGCATGTCTCAGAGAAGAATATTCTGAAATAAGGTCTGTGTTTCCCAAATGCCACAGGTGGGGTTTCACCAAATACTCGTCTCCCAGGGACCTGGAGCCTGAGCTGCAGGAGGAGCGAGGAGATCCTGGGCCGTCCTTGATGACCACACATTCCACTGAATACCCGGGTACCCAATTGTGGGGTGCAGGGGGAGAGCCTTGGGTTCTGGCTGGACTTTTAGGTTGGTTTCTGGGGTCAGGGCGAGCTGAAGGCCAACAATGTGATTTCAGGGGTGGCCTAAGGGCTCAAGTGCTCCCTAAAGTGTCTGCCCCTGCCTGCTGGTTAATGACGCCTTCCACCAGCCTTCATCTATACAGCCTAAGGCTTTGGTCCTTGCTTAAAAGTTGAATCCTTGAGGTGACTCCCCAGAGGTCAGCGATAACTAAGGACTTTCAGGTGCTGCAGGATCTGAGAGCAGGTTCTGCAAGGGCAGTGAGGGGTGTCAGGAGCAAGGGGTCAGGAAAGGACGGAAACATGCAAGGCCTGGGCATCTCTGAGTGAATGAGAGGCAGTGTGGCTAATGCCCTAGATGTCAAACAGAACGTTCTCCCCTAGGTCTGGGGCGCCCCCTATTAGGGCCTGGACACAGACTGCATGTGAAAAGCTATTGCAGTCAGTCAGTCAATCAAGGATTCCATTTACAGTTAAAAAACAAAACTACTGATTCTAAACATGTACATATATCTCATGTTTTCCTGTGCTGACAGATATTTGCATGAAACTACACCAAGCAAGGTCTGGAAGGATACACAAACTGAAAATAGTGGTTCCTTCTGAGGACGATACTGAGGTTGGGGAACTTTCACTTTCTACTCTAGTTGATTCTACATCATTCAGTTGTTTTACCCCAGGAAAGTATGACCAGTGCCATTTAAAGGTAAAGAATATCTTGAAGGAATGTACCTAATGCTACTGAACTGTACGCTTAAAAATGGTTACTCCATCATAAATGGTATTTGTTATATGTATTTCACCACAGTTTCTAAAAGATACCTTTACAATAAAGGCACCTCTGGAAATCAAAATGGTGATTAGCTGGGGGAGGGCGAGGGGATGTTAGTTATAGACCAGGAAGGAGCTGAATGGATGACAGAAATGTTTCCTATCTTTACCTGCATCACATACAAATGTGATCATATTACACCACCATTAAAGATACTACACTTTTACGCACTTTATTTATATTATCCCTCAAATTAAAAAAAACAAAAACATTTACTTAAAGGATTTTCAAAAAAGTCAGATTGTCGTAATGCCCTAAATACAAACTAAGAGCCAATTAGACAACTTGGGAAGCTGGATTCACTGATGTCACCAGGGGACAGACCTAGTCACTCACTGAGCCCTGACTAGACACCAAGTGCTGGGCTGAGAGCAAAGAAGCCCAGGGCATGCCTTCACAGTGCTCACAGTCCAGCCAGGAGTAGGTGATGTACTTTCGTGCATCTCGTGCGGAAACTAGGTAGAAAAGGTCATTGGGGGAACAAAGGAAGGAGTGGGAACTATGGGAGGCCCGGGGTGTGTGTAGGTATGGAGGGACAATTAGAGCTTCATGGAGAAGGAAATGACTGATGGAACCTTGCATATTAACAGTTCACCAGAACGCTCAGAAAGGTAACACTAGGAAGGACAGCTCAGTGCTTCAGCCTTTATTTCTGTCAAGGCCAAAGTCACCTAGAACGGGTGTGCTTGGTGACAGCGGTGGTGCCCTGGGACACAAAGTGCTTGGCCAGCTCCCCAGGTGGCAACATGCACATGGGAAGTCAGGAG